TTCCTAAGCAGCATTCAGTGCCACATGAGAAAAATACTGAAGAGGAAGTGAGGGACTAACAGCAGGGAGGGGGAGGCTCAGCCTGGGCCACCAGCTTTACCTTCTAGGGGTTCTGTGCTCCATCTTTGCCTTCACTGGAATGCCACACTTAGCTGACTTCATGAAGAGAAAAGCAACAAAAGACAAAACACGCCCCTCTTCCAAACATTTTAATCTTTTGAATATTTTAAAACTCAGGCATCTCAGACACACAACTGTTAAACTGTTGAAAGTAACACTGTGTCTCAGCAGAACCTGGCTTTCTTGACCGCTGTGATGGTTACAGTACTTCTACCTGATGATGTCACTTCTACTGGACTCTCCCACTCACGCAGCAGTCTCTACATATCTAAAGCCAGAAGCTCACTGTCACCATAACCAGCGCTTTCCTTATTTCCTTATTCTAAAAGGGACATCATTATTTCTCTGCAAAATCATTCAAAATTGTGGAATTGCCCATGACGTTTTTCTTCTGTTTGGTCCTTCTGTTTGGTCCTCTGTTGTTCTTAACTTAAAGAGTATGGCAACTTCTTTTCTCTCCTACCACTGCCAAAACCTTAGCCCAGGTTATCATCACTGTCCTCTCAATCTTTCACAGTTTATCTCCTTTATTCTCCCTCTCGTTATACAACTACTTACTCATCAGAAATGTAATGATGTTCTGATGAGCACATATCTGATGACGGTGTATTCAATCACTGTTCTAGAGATATTACAGCAAGAACAACTACAGTGTAGAATAATTTTCTTTAGCTTACACTAAATAGACAAAAAAAAAAGAAAAAAGAAGGTATGAAGAAAATTGAATGAATGATATACAAAAGTGACAGAAGCTGGAAAAGGAAGTGTCACTACCAGGTTAAACTTGATGAATAACTGACTTTTCCAGTCCATTCCCTGATGTTAAAAGCATTAAATATAAGTATCACTTAAATATACTTCCCCACTTGGCCATTAAGGCCTTTTACATCAGGTCCCTGGTGCATCTTTACAATTTATCATCCTCAACATGTAGTCTTTCCAGCCCTTTCTATTTGCACCAAATATACACCTGAGTATCTTTGTGTCGTGACTTTATTTAGAATGTGTTTTCTTCCTTTCTACAAACCTATATTTAAGTCTAATTTTAAAGTCCTGCTTAATCTAAGTCCATAATAATAATTTTTTTAATCTGTTCTATGACAGAAATTTTTATTCAAAATATCCATGAGGCTCTGTATGTAGGCCTGATTAGTAAAATATTGCTTTGGCATAATTAACAGGTAGGTAGAATAGTAACTTGTGGAATAAAATTAAAGAGCAAATTTATTTTTATTTCTAACTGCTCTTTAAAAGGTATTCAGTAAAATATATTACATTTGTGTAATAAAGCAATAAACATTAACTTGCAAACATCTCAATTATGTAATAATTGAAATTTTGAACACTAAAGTTGAATCTTTATCCCCAACAGGAGCCTCTTTCAGGTAAGAAGCTGAAAACGAAAGCTCAACTGTCCTGTGCGTTTCATCGACCCTTCTCTGTCACTCTTACTCGAGTTCTGAATCCTCCAAAGTTAGGGGCGAGAGGCAAAAACAGGATGGTTACAGGAAAAAGGTTCTTACCTGACCAACTTTACACTAGACTCCAAGATTTTTAAGGCTAACTCTCTTTGTATGTGTGTGTATGTGTGTATTGACTTCTCTCACTATTGCTGAGGGTCTTTCACCTCAGTTCCCTCAACACAAATTTTCTTTTGTCTGACCACACCTCCTCAGTTTCTTCAGCAGCTCACTTCAACAGACTCTTACTTTTAGGGTCCTGTTTCCCTTCCAGGCCTTTCATGTGGTTTGATTTCTTTCAGTAATGACTGACCTTCAGGCCAAAGGAAACAGTAATATAATATTGCAGGAAAAATTCTAGGCCTATGGACCAGTCCAATGCAGCAATCTCTCTTTCTTTAGTGCTCAACTGCCAAAGCATCAAAGCAGTTAGCTGGTCCTTCTCTCATCCTTTATTATTTCCTAGCCTGGAGTAAGACCCAGCCCATTTTATGATGCTACGGTTTTTTGTTTTTGTTTTTGTTTTTCTGAGACAGAGTCTTGCCCTGTTACCCAGGCTGGAGTGCAGTGGTGCAATCTCAGCTCACTGCTGCAACCTCTGCCTCCCAGGTTCAAGCAATTCTCATGCCTAAGCCTGCTAAATAATTGGGACTACAGGCACGCATCACCATGCCTAATTTTTGTATTTTTAGTAGAGATGGGGTTTTACCACATTGGGCAGATTGGTCTCAAACTCCTGGTTTCAAGTGACCCACCAGCCTCAGCCTCCCAAAGTTCTGGGATTACAGTCACCTTGCCTGGACTTGTGACGCTATATAACTATTTCCAATTTTGTGAACATATTTGGACTAAAGGATATATGAAATATAATACACTCACTTGCTTAGATACCTGTTTTTTTCTACTTGGCTAATACCAGGATTTAGCAAAGTACCTAGGTTCTAATATACTAATAGTTATTTGTTGAATGTATGAGTATAATAATACGGCCTAAGTTTCAAAAATTACTTTTTTATAAGCAAGAAAAACAATTTTATAGGGGGTTCCCTGTATAAAGATAGAAATCAATGTCTACAAAATAATGTAAGATGTGGCTAAAACATTTACAGGTTTCCCTGACTAAAATTAGCTCCAAAAGAATAAAGATCTTGTCTGTCGTTTTTAGCAGAGTCTATAATAATGCATAGATCATTTAACACATATTTAATGAGGAAACATAAAATATTATAATGTTAGTATTGTCCCTTCACATATCACACTTTAAAAGAATTGTTATAATCTTAATTTTAAACGATAAATGGTATCATTTTTTCTGTAGGCATTTTGGATCTCAAACAGAATATATAAAAATTTATCTTTAAAAAGTGACTTCAATTTAATGATAAAAATCCTTAATGATCGCCTGCTACTTTCAAGGCACTGACAAGGTACTGAGGAAGACAAAGAAAAGAATAAGAGACCGTGCCTTTCCATAGAAGGTAAAACCTTACAGGAGAGATGAGATACGTGCGTGTGTATCTTACAGTAACAGGAAAATTCAGGAGCTTGCCTGTGAGACCCCTAAGTGGATAATAATACTTCTGTTTGACATAACTGTAGAAGATATCATGAAAAATTGACTTCTTCTGGGCTCTAAAAAATTGTTAAGACTTCAGGAATTGGAGGATTCCATTCTAGACCGATGCAAAAGCAGAGAGAGTGTGGGATGTAACTGTTGGGGAGCATCACGTAACCTGGCTTAGTTTAAGAGTAGAGTGTATGGGGGTCAGGGCAGAAGATAAAGCTTTCAGAGCAGATAAAATTATGGCTAACATTTCTCCTGTAGGCCGAGGAAAATCTCTGAAGGCATTGGAGCAGGGGAATCTGGAAGCACAATGTGAAGATAAATAGGAGGAAATAAAGGTTTGGGAGGCACAGAGATGAGTTGGCAGGTTATGGCAACAGTCCAGGTGAGAGGTAATGATGGCCTAAACTAGGGCAGTGGCAATGGGAATAGGAAGCATGGAATGAATCTAACAGACATAAAGATGAATAGTGCCTAGCAGGTAGGAATTAGCTTCTGGGCAAAAAAAAATGCCAGACAAAACAATTAAGCTAATCACTTGCTTTCTACACTAGAAAAAGGCATGCTGCATAAAATCCTTAGTTTAATAAAGGAATAGGTGGGAGTTGTCTTTCATTTAAGCTATTTTTCAGGAATTTGGGTCACAGGAAAATGTACCAATCAAAATTCTAAATCTTTCAACATAAGACTTACAAATCAAATCAGTACTTTCTACGTGGCTATAATTCAACTGCATTTATCTGTAGATGGGAGGTTAAGCCACCATAGTGTCTCTCCAGGGCTCTGTTAAGAGCCACCTACTGGCCTCTTTGACCTTGTCTCACACCCACCTCTAAGTTCATCCACTTGGCTCTAGCCAAAATTATCTTCAAGAAATAGAAATCATAGCATGTCATCCTTGCTTAAAACTCTCCAAAGATTTTTTCATTGCTCTTGGTATACCTGAAACATGGTTTACCTGGCCCCAGTGATCTGCATGTGTGTCGAAATTCCTGTCTCATCGCTTTGCCCTCACACTTCTTGTTCCATCTTTCCCTCTCACTCTCCAGGCCTTCCCTTAGGCCATGAAACTTCCCAGTACACTGGTCCACTCCAACCTTTTCAGGGATCAGTTTAAATTTCATACTACTTCTGACCTTCTATAGTAGGTTAGTTCTTCTTGCTATGTACTCCCCAAACTCTTTATATTTTCCTTCATCACACTTATTATAATTGTCTGCCTCTCCACTGTAGTCTATAGGGGCTAAAAAGACAGAAGCCATGCCTGCTCATTTACAGTTATGTATTAGCCAGCAGAGTAAGTACTGCATACAGAAAATCAATAGCTATTTATAGGGTAAATTGAGCAGGGGTTATTTAAATCACTCTGGAGCGAATTTTCCTCATCTTTAAAATTAGGGTATTGTTTTTCAGATTCCTTTTAGCCATATAATTTTTATAAGTAAACTTAAAGACAAAATTCAGCATCCCAACAGAATCGGTACCCTGTTATACTAAAAAAAGTAATTGGGCCTTATTTATAAATTTAAATTTGAATTGCTGTTCAAAAGCAAGGTTATTAATAATGCTAGAAATGTGTTTTGTTATTTCTCAACCTGTCCTTATTCTGAAAACATTTTATCTGTTCACCTTAAGCCATGTGGCATGAGTAACAGGAAATAAAATAACCATAAAAACAGTTGAGTAAATGCCCCAAGAAAGTCAACTTTGAGGCAGATTTTGTCCTTTCTGAATTCTAATATAAGCACATTTCAGACATTTTCATAGAAGAGGATTCTTGAATCTCATTTGTTAATACTGATTCCTACTAGTAAATAATACCCCAAGGTATTCCATTAAATGTAGTTTGTGGCAATATTTCTCAAAATAAATGCTGTTAGCACGCATCCTCTACAATGTTTTTAAAAGAATGAAAAGATATTGTGAATAACAACCTTTATTGAATTTTTACTGTATGCCAGGCACTGTTCCATTTGCTTCACCTGTTAACTCATGGAATCTTCACAGTAGCCCTATGAGGATGATGCTATTATGATCCCTATTTTATGGAAGGGGAAACTGAAGTACTAACACAGGTTAACATAGTAAGTGGATAGCTAGGATTTAGATCTTGCATTTGGCTTCAGAGCTCACAAATTTGACCAGATGACTGTATTGCTTCTCTCAGGAAAGCGTCTCAAAACTAAAATGCAAACTATGCAAAAAACAGTTGGAATAACCATCCTGTGTTCCTTGATTTGAAAGTGAAATACAGGTTAATAAAATGACATTAAGCTCTTTTTTAGAAATAAAAGTTAGTAGTATAGTCAAATATTGTTTATGTTGTTGAGCAGAGTGTATCTAATTATGCTTCTTATTTTAACATAAAATCTTCTCATTTCAATAACTGGAAAGTCAGCTGTCATGATAATAATTACATTTTAAGGCTTTATTTCTTCATGAACTATTTGTTCTTTTGATCTCCAGAATTTGTCCACTGCTTAAAGATAATGTTTCTATCTTCATATTAAAAGGGAGGAGTAAATTGAAGCACAAAGCAACAACAAAAAAATCACTTTTTTCCCCCAGAAAGTCTCAGATTCCTTTGTGTAAAACAAAAATAATTGACACATTGGTGAAAATAATTGGTCAGGGAAGCAAACTGTTCTACTTTATTCCTTTACCTGTCCAGCTAGCCATCAGAATAGCATATTTGCATGTAGCTAATCCTTGAATTGATTTATTCAGCTATGTTTACAAGTTAAAAAGAAAAAGGTCCTAAGGAGATAATTACAGGAATACAAATCAGGAGAGACAACTTTGAAAGAATAGTAATTTTGTTTCGTGAAACTGACCTTAAATCCCTAGGAGGAGAACACAACAACTTAACGCAACCTTTTCTCTCTATTCAGAAATGATTGTGAATTAATTGTGCAGTTTAGCTGAACTTTGCTTTTCCTTGTATCCTAGGAGAAGATCTCTAATAGACTGGGAATTTTTGCTTGTTTGCAATGTAAACTCAATATCTAGAGATAGTTCTTAACACGACATGGGCTCTTTGGAACACTCTAATTCCCAAAACAAACAGAGGTAAAGGTGAGCAAAATAACCCACCAGCAAAAGGAAAACAGAAAACAGAAAGATTGACAATCTTCATTTTGATAATTTGGTTTTAAATAATCCTAAAGAAAGATCCTTGGTGACATCAGAAGTCTGACTTGCTCATCCATGAAGATCTATAAGGTTTGTGGATTACTTGAACTCATTAGTTGCTTTGATGATAAAAAGCACTTAGTAAAAATTATATCTATTTTGAATATCACCTAGGCTATGTAATTCTAGCAAAGAGGGGGTTTGAGCATTTGCAGATTAATTATGTCGCTGCTAAGTATTAATTTTGATAGTAAAAAAGCATACTCAAATTGGATATCCCCATGCACATATATACTATTTCAGTTAGCTAGTTAATGTTGACCTCCTGATCTTTTTTTTTAATGTTCAGCTTTATATTGAACACACGAGAAAAGAGGTTTAGTCAAAATGACCAAAGCCCATGTCATCATCAGAATCCTCAGATTCATGTTTCTTTGCTTCCACTTTCTTCTCCTCAGCTGGAGCAGCGGTAGTGCAGGAGTGGAAGAGGTAGTGGAGGAGTGGAAGAGGTAGTGGAGGACCTCCTGCTGGTGCAGCACCAGCTGCTGTAGCAGGTCCACAAGCCCCTACATTGCAGATGAGGCTCCCAATGTTGACACTGGCCAGGGTCTTTGCAAACAAGCCAGGACATAGAGGTTCAACATTTACACCAGCTGCTTTAATGAGGGCATGGATCTTATCTTCTGTGACGGTCACCTCATCATCGTCATGCAGAATGAGGGCCGAGTAGATATAAGCGAGCTCAAACGGAGGCCATGGCACCAGCCAGTGTGGGGCTGGCACTGCTGGGTAACCACAGGAAGTGAGGGCCTTACCCCAAGGCGGCCTTCGCTTCCTTGGAAGGACCAAGCAACTCGGAGGCAGCTGAAGAAAGGGCGACCCATGATCTTAATTCCAATAGTTTCCTTAGCCATGCCATTTTTGATTCATTCATCCAACAGGTATTAACTGAGCACACATAGCAAATTCAAGTTTAGGACTACACTAGGCTCTGAGTCGAGAATGCCAAGCAGAAACCCAACAACAAACAAAAAACAATTCCTGTCCTCAAAGATCTTTCTTTACTATTTTAAAACTTTACATTTGAAGATTAGAAAATGGAGTATAGGGCCGGGTGCGGTGGCTCACGCCTGTAATCCCAGCCTTTTGGGAGGCCGAGGCAGGCGGATCACGAGGTCAAGAGATCGAGACCATCATGGTCAACGTGGTGAAACCCCGTCTCTACTAAAAATACAAAAAATTAGCTGGGCATGGTGGCGCGTGCCTGTAATCCCAGCTACTCAGGAGGCTGAGGCAGGAGAATTGCCTGAACCCAGGAGGCGGAGGTTGCGGTGAGCCGAGATCGCGCCATTGCCCTCCAGCCTGGGTAACAAGAGCGAAATCAGTCAATAAAATCTACAGGAGAATGGACTTTCTTGGTTTCCCCAATACCATGGACAGAGGCCTAAGAATCACCCTAAAGTACTTTTTCTATTCTCTTAGTAACTAGATTTGCTTAATGCTTTTTTAAAGAAAAATATGATACAATGTCTGACACAATGGTGATTATTTAGGGAATGCACTGGAAATGGTCTACTTAACATCTTAATACATGTAAAAATACCTTCGTTTACTTTAATATATTTTGGTACATACATCTATTCTTCCCAGGAACTTGTACTAAGCACTTTTTGCTAAGTTGGCCTCTGTGATAGGTGCTGCGGATCTCAGTCTGTAGCCAATGGTTCTGTTGTACAGAACTTATAGAAAATAAGCTAGGTATAGTGTTTAACTTATTAATGATCATGTGCTTGGAATTTTTTAAAATTTGCAAAGTACTCAATGGACTGTAGACTTAGAGAATCATATCTTCAATATTCCTTTCCTGAGGTTAGAAAAGTGCTGTATAATTATGGAAGCAAAGCATTCTTAGATCATTTTAAAAAGAAAAATGTACTCTGAATCAAATGGCACTGGAAAATGTAGACGGGATGAGTTCAATTTTTACAGAATAAAAAACAGTTTTCCTGCCAATGTTGTTCTGAAATTAATTGCAAGATGTGTTTTTTAAATGACTTATCAAAAAACATGAAACCAATCAATAAGCCAAACAAGGCTAGAAACCACTATTAGCTAGTAAATTGATTTACTATCTATTATAATTCCTCCATAAAGCATAATAGGCACTTTCATTTCACAGTTTAATGTTTCTGTAATTGAGATATAATTCAATTTATTTGCACATCTTATATAATAATATTTTTTTCCAAAAAGCTACTCATATTTATGATGAATCTTATAACAAATGGCATTAGAGTTAAGAAAACATGTTAGTTGCAAGCACACAACTGCCTATTTTATAAACCATCCCCAAAATAACTGCAAATGTCTTAACTAAATTTTATTAAATGCTTTTTATTTTGCTACAAATGGAAAGACAAACTCTTATTTCAGGTATTTTTTTAAGTTCAAAAATCACACGCTTTGAAAACACCTCATTACTGGAATTAAAAATTATCTTTTAATATTTTCATTATTCCTGCTTGAAAATAAGAATGATATCCTTTTAACCTCTGTACATTTACTGCAAGAAAACCATGTCCTGGTCATTTCTTTATCACTGGAATCTATAATAATGCCTTAAAAATAATGACTGTTGAATAAGAAAAATATGGAAGAAAGAATAAAAAAATAAAGACCTTAGACACAATGAACTCTCAATAAATATTTATTAGATTATAATAAGCAGGGCATATTACCATAGTTCAGTGATAAAGTTTTAATATCTTTCTATAGTGTTTGCCTTTGTATCACCAAGAGGAAATTAATTCATTTTAATGATAAATTATTTTAATATTTGGTTTTATGTATATCTAAGGTCTGTGTATTTATAAGAGTCTTGTTATGTCAGTCATTGGCTCAAATATTTTTCTCATGTAACCAAATATTTTCATGATATTGCCTGTAGTGCATCTCCTTAGTACTTAACTTTTAGAGAGAAATTTCTGAAGCTATTAACTTCATATAAAACACAAACTTCTTCAGTAATTTTTCAAACATGTTCAAACAGTAATTACTTTTCTGTATCTATGTCTTTATCCCTCAGTATATCTAATCCCAAATACCAATGAAAGCCATCAAATGTAGCATGGGTTTTTAAAGTGAACTTCTCCATTTAGAATTTTTTTTTTACTATAGCTTCTTATTTCTCTTGTAGTTTTTTTTCTCCTGATAAATTAAACAGCACACTAAAAATAAAATAAATAAAAATTAAAAAAAACCTGCCCCAAATTTGAGGCCAGTATAAAGAAATGTATCTTTAGATTTATTTATATATCTTTAGAAATTAATATGAAAATCTGTTTTGCAGATCTTCAATGACCTTTTACTAGAAACTCGAAATGTATTTAAAACTACTATCTAGTAGCAGAGACCATTTTACTAGATCTCTGAGGATATACATGAGAACAGAGAATCTCAGGCTGAGCTCTGGGGTACTTCTACTTATAGTCACACCTAGAAGGTACAATCCAAAGAAACAGTAAATAGTGTCCAATGAGATAAGGGCCAAGCCAAGAGAAAGTGGTATCATGCAAATGAAGAAAAGAAAGTTTTCCCAGAACAGGGCAGTGATGAACTGTTCTGATGCTCCTGGAGGGCAAGTTAGATGAGAAAATTGATGTTATCAGGCATTTAGAATCCTGAATCCAAAAATCGATGTGATCAATGTCCTTAGCATCTTGTAAGCCCTTGGAAGTTGCTGTGGAGTAAGGGGACAAGCTGTTTGGAGGTAACTGAGAAAACTGTATTTGAAGAAGGAGAAATAGTGATTACCAATTTGTATAGTTTTTACACTAATTGTGGCAAGCCAATGAATTCTGAAGAAAAACATGGAATTATAGAATCTATAAATATTAAATCCAACTGAATTATATCTTATAGTTTCTTGGAGATGAGATTGAAGAAATGGTCTTGGGGGCAGATCAAAAGGCTTTAGATACATTGTTAAGAAGTTTTAAGGTTTTAGGCTGAGCGTAATGGTAAGCCATTTATGTACCTATGTGGAGTTCATCATCTCTTGAAGGAGACAGATTAATCATATGTCTCAAAGAAGTATTAAATTGAACTTATGATACATGTTAAAATTAAGAAATAATGTTATGGGAACATAAGATAAGGAGTTTCATATGAGAGGCATCAGGTTTTCATGGGAAAAATGACAGCTAGGGGATGAGTAGAGTTAACGAAGTGAAGAGAGAAAGAAACCAAGCTGTATTCAGTAGAATGAGCACAGATACTCTGAAAGGAGAGACAATGGCACCTATGAGCAACTGAAAGGTCAATGTGCCTGGAAACTTGAGAACAGTGAGCAGCACTATATTATGTTGAGGGTTGTCCTCATCCAAGAAGAATAGAAAATCATTTGATTACTTAAAGCAGAAATAAGAGCATATATATTTTTTGTTTTAAAAAAAGATCCACACTGGAAAGTGGAGAATGATGGGGTTGAGGGGTCAGAATGGAATAGGTTAGACCAGTTATAGGATTTTTTTGGTGTTGTCTACAGAAGATGGTAGCTTAAAGTTGGCAGGCATTAAAGTGATAACAGGTGAATAATTTAAAGAAAAAATTTAGTAGTTAAAAATTGCAAGGACTTGGTGGTATATGGGTTGGGAATATTAGATACCATCTTGATATGTATACAATTGTTCAGGACATATATAATGAATCAATTGAGCACCCAATAATAAGCATTTATTTTGAGTGCATACTATGTCATCAATATATCCTTCCTTTTAGGGAAAGCTCAAAATCATTTATGTGTTAGAAGTAAAGATCAGATTCTAGACATTGTTTATCTCAATTGTTGTTAACACACTAAGGAAAACAAGCCAGTGTTGATGAATATCTTATTGTGTCCTAGGGATTCTGGAACAAAGAATCCATTCAGAAGCTACACTATGCTCATCCAAAAGAGATGACAAAATTCTCTCTACCCAGTACAGCTTGCATAACTTTGGTGCAAGCAGATGATGGTTACACTTGGCTGAGAAGCCCCCAGAGGCTGATTTACAAACACAACTGCAAGATTCAACTACATACCCACCTTGTCTTGACACATGTGTGCTAGTAAACCCAAAGTCATACATATCATTAATTTCACTCCTAATTAAACCTTCTAGGCCTAACGAGGTAGTGACAACCTTAACCTTGGAAAGTTCTGGTCAGGATTATTCAAACACCATTAAAAAGATTGCTTTTAAAATATTATAAAAATGAGCTTTCTTATTTCTTTTCCTCAACTCTGAGAAGGATAACTAAGATAAATTTTAGCCTTGCAATACAATAATTTTGTTCTAGCTATCACTGATTGTAGTAGCTGTGAAAGTCTGCTTAGAGAGATAGTTTTTATTAGTCAAACTATTACCTGATACATGAAGAAATCTATTCTTCTGGTTCCATTTTATTCCACTGTTACCAAACTTAATATATTTGAGAAAGAAAATGCGGTAAAGTAGATGAACGTCGCATGTGCTCTGGGAGAATGTGCTATGAATCCCAATTCTATCACTTATAAGCCATACTATCCTGAAAGTAGTATTAAATTTCTCCAAACTTCAATATACTATCTACCTCACAATGTTGCTTATGTGAAAATATCAATGTAAAAATATATTTGTAATGTGAAATATAAAAGTGCCAACTAGGCTCTAGCACTTGATAGGTGCTCATTAAATATAAGCTGAATTCTGCCAATACTAAACCAAATCTGTACCCAGAGTAATATCCACTGGCATACATTTCTTTCTCTTTGCTCTAATAGTAATAATATCCTGCTATCAATCCTACTAATTCAACTCTTTCATAATCCCATGTGGATATTAATTAAAATACATCCATTAATCAA